ATAACTTCGGCCCCTTCGAACATATCGTCTTTGTAATAGTCTTGTTAGAATCCCCATTAAAAACACTACTTAGAGTGTTATTTGCAAGCCTGTATCTTCAAATCTGTATCTTTTATCAATATATTTCCATTTCTTGTCCGACTGTGAGCTCGAAGTGAGTTAACCCAACCGGAAATACGACTGAAAACCGTCAAAACAATGCGAAGCTTGTATCGTATGACCCTGCAAAGGCCAGAAATGGTTCGCAAGGTCAAATTGCACCTACACGCGTGAGTTTAACGTCATCCCGGCTACAGGAGCTTCTTATTGGCCAATTATTGCGCAATGTATGCAAGTGCGAGTAAAACCCGACATCTTGAAAAATTCAAAATAAATATTTCTACTCGCCGTATTCAAACGAAATTTTGTACACAAAAGCGCTTGAATACAAAGAGTATTTTACACATATAGCCGTTCAGCAAATGACGAAATGTTCAAGAGATATTCAAGATCTTGTGTATATGAAATTTAGAATCTTTGGCGAAGCGGTGAGTAAATATATGATTGTTTCGGTTTGTGTAATGTTCTGACGGCACTTGACCCCCGTTTGAAAGGTTATTTTGTGAGGATTACAATGGTGGCTTTTATTTAAAAGGGGGGTAAATACTCGCCGAGATATTTATATTAGAAAAATTGTGTCGTAATATGATGCGAAAGGGGGTGTTTAATGCTTGTTTAATTAATCGGATAATCTTGTTATCGACTAATGTGTGGGCTAATGTAGGTAAGTTATGTTCTAATATATTGTAGTCACAGTTCATCAGAGCTAGGTTGCATAAAATTCTTAACTACTATTTAACTAGCTTTTGTAGTTAAATAGCAGTTAGTTTTAATCACGTAGATATGTTTGTTGTATAAAAGTCCAATTAGCGTTAACTGCAGCTGAAAAGTGGTTAATTGATTTAAAGTTAATTTAAGTATACCCAAGGCTTCTCAAAACGTAGTTAAAAATGATGCTTTTAGGAATGAACAGCATTTTCAGGAATAACGAAAAACAACGCTTATCTGGGATTTTCAATCGCTATCTTTCCTGTGATTGCATGTTTCCTGACAGTTATAATCTCTTCAAATATTTTGCTTTGGCTTTTTGACGAAAACTGGATATATTTTCGCACAGAAAGATTTCTCGAACCATTACTCGAAGAAACATGCTATATATTATAGCAAACCAATACACTTTGTGTTCTGCCCTGCAGTCCACAATCATCAGTGGCGGACATTTTACGAAATATTGGGGGGGGGGGGGGGGCG